CCTCCATCCTATCTTTTTCTTGTGTCTTTCTTTCTTTTTTTTTTTTTTTTTTTGGTTTTTGTCTGGCAAGCTGCCTTGCAACTGCTGCTCCCTCCATCACCGTATTGCCTGACTGCATTCTTCTCATTCCTACCGACTTCCTGCGACTGGAAGAGCAGTGAGACCCACAAACCCTCCACCTTGGAGACCTACCCACATGTGCAGCATAGGATGATATTCCTCCTCGCTGCCTCAGCTTTCAGTTTTACTGATCGCGGTGGAGATTATCAAACAAAAACAAGCTGTTGTGAGTGTTTGATGACATGATGACATCTAGTTTTTACTACAGTGTGGGTGCAGCTCTAGGATACAGCTGAGTGTGAGCACAGAGGAACACACCTCCAACTCCAATGCTCATCAGTAGAAGCTCTGTTAGTTTGAGACATAAGCTTTGTGGTCAAAGTGGAGGGGTAAAAATAAAAAAAGCTCTGCTGACATCTGATAAAGAGGAACTGACAGAAATAAACTCACAAACAAAAATTAAAAAAAGTGTCCAGTTAATACATAATACATCAACTCAGACCAGTGATGGGCAACTGAACAGAGTTGGAGCATCTAGGAGAGTGGCTCTCAGTCCTGGTCCTTGAGGGCCACTATCACTGTTTTCTTGTGTTTCTTTCTTTCTTAGTCTGTTGCCTGTTAATCACTCATTAATTTACATCAATGTTCAAACACATGTCGTACAGTGGCCCTCAAAAACCAGGATTGAGGACCACCAGAGTTGTAAAGTAACTTTATCTATTTAACCTTTATTTATCCAGGTAAACTGTTTGAGAACCACTTCTCATCTAAGTACAAATACTTTGTTGCTGTACAATTTTTGGGTATCTGTACTTTACTTGAGTAATTATTTTTGAGCCTACTTTTTACTTCTACTTCTTCCATTTTCATACAATTATCTGTACTTTCTACTCCTTACATTAAAAAAGAAGCAAGAAGTAGAAATTTGTTTTTTTTATTTCATTTTTGCTCGTTTTCATTCCAGCTTGTTATTGTAAAAATTAAATACTATCCATATAAACTGTGCCTCCTAGATAGAGTGAATTTAATTATGGTTGAATGAGAAGTATAAATATATAAAATTCTGATACCGTATTAGTTTGAACACAAACAAATCATGTCACACTCCAGCAGGACATAATCATTAAAATAAAAGGACTGTACTTAAGAAGTATTTGTATTTCATGAATATTATTGCACTTGGCCGCAGCCCTCTGATAGATTTCTAGTTTGGGGAAAAGGTTTGGGTACCCTTCATATACGTATATAAACTGAAACAGCTAGACAAAATTTAATTAAACATTTTAATACAACACAGTCATTTCTGCATTTTTGGAGGGAGGTCACCTCCTAATAAATGTCCTTATGGAAAATCTGACTGCTCATTTTAAATCAATACGTTTACTTTTAATACTTAAGTACAAAAATATCAGATACTTTAAGACTTTTACTCAAATAATATTCCTAAAGGAGAATTTAACTTTTACCAAAGTCATGTTTTGGTAAGATACTTGTACTTTTACTCAAGTATCACTTTGTGGTACTTTATACAACGAGAACCACTGATCTAGAAGAGCACCAGAGGGCGAGAGTGTTACGAGGCAGTTACACCCATAAGTCAATTAAAACAATGAGTGAATTTGGGAAGTGCTGTGGGTTTGAATGAGGCAGGTGGTCGGTTTATGGAGTGCACAGATGTCACATGTTGGAACTAATGGGTACATGAGTGCATCCCAGGTCTTCCACGCTGTCTCAATGACTGGCGTCAGCAGGACTATGGGTTCATCGTGGCGTTTGTTGGCTGCGATGAACACCAGAGCAGAGACGGCTGTGTTTCTGTTAACACAATGGTTGAGTAAATGTAAAGCCACTCTCACATTTACTTTTAAAGAAAATGTGAAAGTAGTGAAGAAGATGCATCATGAGGATCAGATTTCTCTTATGACCAATGAGTCCCCCTATCTTTCCTGTGGGATCAGCTCATCAACTCCAGCCTGGTGCTGATTTGTCGGCTCACAAAGGCTCGTTCCAGCCTCTGTGGGCGAACGTGCTTCAGAAGAGAACACATCCTTGTACAGCTTTGTTCTTCACAGCATCATGGCTAAATAATGGGAAATAAATAAATAAATAAATAAATAAATAAATAAATAAATGGTGGCTCAAAGCAGAGCCACACTTTGCTGACATGAGACCAGCAGTTTGCCCATGCTGCCAAATTAGCATTTAATTAGGTTCTGATCATTTCAAAACAGTCATGAGGTCATTTAATGTGTTTAATTTCTACCAATCCACCTGCAAGCTTAACATTTTTTTTTGTCAGAGGGTGTGTTAGGGTTCATCGTCATGAGTCTCTGGATTGTATTTTTAAACATTTTTGCAAATTTTACACAGACGAAACGTCCGATTGGGGTGTGATTCATTTGGATAATTGCATGATGAACAAAGGCTCATGAGTAAAAAATACGTAAACAGCATTAGATTTTTWGGTAGACAGTACATCATTTTCCAACAACCACGATGCATTGGCTCATTTCAGGGAAAAGTGCTGTAATTTCAGAGGCAATCATTTCCAGGCATTCTCTCTCTCACTCTACACACATCTGCTAATGGGAGAAGCACTGTCTCAAGAATGTGCTGTTCAAAATGGAATGTTATAAAATTCAATTTGCTCGAACCTATCTCAAATTATTCAGGCCACAGTCAGCCCTGTGACTGTGCAATCAACTGCCAAGAGTACAGGGGAGAGATATTCTGTTGTTGATGGTAGCATTTCTTTTTTAATTCAGACAACAATTTCCCCCATGGGTAAACAATTTATCTTAACAGTAAGAAGCCTGCTGACTCCCTCAGAGAGAGCCTGAACCACCCTGAGTCACYTGAAATAACAAAATAAATAAATTATATATAAAAAAGTCAGTTTAGCTTGTTTTATTAGTGGTATTCAACAAATCTGTATTATCTGTGTAAATGCAAAGATGCTGATTTTACTTGGCACAGTTTAGGTTGAGCCACAAGCTGGGTGATGACCGTGAGACCAAATGAAATCTCAATTTGAAGGAGGACATGTGAGAAAGGAACACTGTGTGTAAACAGGTTTTCTTGGATGTGTGTGTGTGTTTGAGCGTGCGTGTGTGTGTGTGTGTGTGTGTGT